CGTAACCACACACAGTCATTAATGTGTTTGCTATCTATTACATAAACATCACATTCCTAGGACCCATTCAAAGGCATCCACCTCCTTCTCCAAGTCCTTCCCTGATCCTGGAGGATCGTTCAGAGGGTGTCTCTGGTGGTTGTATTCTCTGAGACATTAAAGTGACCTTGCCTTGAACTTTTCCTTTGGCCATGTGCTCTTGCTTTTTGTTACAGAACTTGCCCCAGAACCACTGCAGGCCTCCAAATCTGTTTCTGCACTGGCTACAGCCACGTTTATCATCCTGTGTGATCCTGAGGAGCACATCGGAGCTGGGCTTTCCTCCTCCCTCCTGGGTCCTAGAACCCTATGGCCAGGATGAGCAGGGACACTGCAGAGGGTCCCAGAAGGATCATGGCAGGATCAGGGCTGTTTGGGGTGAAAAGGGGGCACCGGGGATGGTGTGTGCTGTTCGAGGCGGTTTTGGAGGGGTCAGGAGAGGCTCGGAGCGGGTTGGAGGGGGGCTGCATGCCGACAACCCCAAATCTCCCCACCGGAGGAGAGCAGAGCCTGACAGGCCACGCTCCGAGTGCAGAACGGCTTCGTCTGGGAAACCTGTGGGATGTGATAGGATGGGGTGAGAATGGAGAGCGGGGATGAGGATGGGATCGGGATAGGAGCAAGCCACTCAGCTGTGCTTCCTCAGCCCAGAGCATGTTTTTGCAATGATCTCAGAGACCTTTCCGGAACAGGAGTTGTTTATGACAAGCACCCAGCTGCCTCAGCAGCACTGCCTGCACTGCCAGTGCCACCAGCACCACCAGAATCCCTCTGCTGCTGGAGGGACAATGACCCCTTGGGGAAGAGAAATGAGGAATGGTAGGAACCTATCTAGAGACGGAAGGCAATTGGAGAATGGGACACTCTGCAGAGATGGAGTGTTTCTCATCAGGAGAGAAAGAGGAGCCAATCACAAAAATTCATTTAGAGCATCTGAAAAAACCCACATCCGCTGTAGGAAAAAAAATATACCAAAAAAAACCCACACCCAACATAAACACCTCAGAGGAACTCAATTTCTGAAGTAGGCAAAGTTGCAATTTTTGATTACCCCACTCCCCCCATGACTGCGCCAAGCCTTGGGGAGCAACAACAGGACAGGGCACAGAGAGGAGCCAGCAGGATGGGAATGGGGAGCTCCTGGTGACCTGGACACTTTCTCCTCCATGTCCCTGACCTGGCAGGAGCCGCTTTAGGACATGGATCCCAAAGGAGCAAGAGGGACCAGGAAGCGCCGCTGATCTGCACAGAGCCCTTTGCCTGCTGCTGCCCCACAGGGAACAGGTCAGTGGAATGTTTGCCTTCCTCCCTACCCCACCTTCCTCTCCTCCAGCAGCTGCTCTGTTCCTGACACCCTCTCCTGGTGACAGCTGGGCCCTCCCAAGCCACCCCTTCCCTGCCCTGTGCATTCCATCTGTCATTGAATCAGCTGAAATAAACTTTCTAACACAATGGGAAGCATTGGGAAGCATTAGGAAGCAGGAATTCCCTACCTGCACAGAAGGTTCTCTCCCTGATGTCTGTGCCGTGAGATTTTACAACAGGGGTTTTATCCATCGTAACCACACACAGTCATTAATGTGTTTGCTATCTATTACATAAACATCACATTCCTAGGACCCATTCAAAGGCATCCACCTCCTTCTCCAAGTCCTTCCCTGATCCTGGAGGATCGTTCAGAGGGTGTCTCTGGTGGTTGTATTCTCTGAGACATTAAAGTGACCTTGCCTTGAACTTTTCCTTTGGCCATGTGCTCTTGCTTTTTGTTACAGAACTTGCCCCAGAACCACTGCAGGCCTCCAAATCTGTTTCTGCACTGGCTACAGCCACGTTTATCATCCTGTGTGATCCTGAGGAGCACATCGGAGCTGGGCTTTCCTCCTCCCTCCTGGGTCCTAGAACCCTATGGCCAGGATGAGCAGGGACACTGCAGAGGGTCCCAGAAGGATCATGGCAGGATCAGGGCTGTTTGGGGTGAAAAGGGGGCACCGGGGATGGTGTGTGCTGTTCGAGGCGGTTTTGGAGGGGTCAGGAGAGGCTCGGAGCGGGTTGGAGGGGGGCTGCATGCCGACAACCCCAAATCTCCCCACCGGAGGAGAGCAGAGCCTGACAGGCCACGCTCCGAGTGCAGAACGGCTTCGTCTGGGAAACCTGTGGGATGTGATAGGATGGGGTGAGAATGGAGAGCGGGGATGAGGATGGGATCGGGATAGGAGCAAGCCACTCAGCTGTGCTTCCTCAGCCCAGAGCATGTTTTTGCAATGATCTCAGAGACCTTTCCGGAACAGGAGTTGTTTATGACAAGCACCCAGCTGCCTCAGCAGCACTGCCTGCACTGCCAGTGCCACCAGCACCACCAGAATCCCTCTGCTGCTGGAGGGACAATGACCCCTTGGGGAAGAGAAATGAGGAATGGTAGGAACCTATCTAGAGACGGAAGGCAATTGGAGAATGGGACACTCTGCAGAGATGGAGTGTTTCTCATCAGGAGAGAAAGAGGAGCCAATCACAAAAATTCATTTAGAGCATCTGAAAAAACCCACATCCGCTGTAGGAAAAAAAATATACCAAAAAAAACCCACACCCAACATAAACACCTCAGAGGAACTCAATTTCTGAAGTAGGCAAAGTTGCAATTTTTGATTACCCCACTCCCCCCATGACTGCGCCAAGCCTTGGGGAGCAACAACAGGACAGGGCACAGAGAGGAGCCAGCAGGATGGGAATGGGGAGCTCCTGGTGACCTGGACACTTTCTCCTCCATGTCCCTGACCTGGCAGGAGCCGCTTTAGGACATGGATCCCAAAGGAGCAAGAGGGACCAGGAAGCGCCGCTGATCTGCACAGACCCCTTTGCCTGCTGCTGCCCCACAGGGAACAGGACAGTGGAATGTTTGCCTTCCTCCCTACCCCACCTTCCTCTCCTGCAGCAGCTGCTCTGTTCCTGACACCCTCTCCCGGTGACCGCAGTGTCCTCCTCATCTCCTCTCTCTCCTCCTGTGCATCCCATCTGCATCCTAATACTGAAATGGGCCAGAACAAACTTTATGACACAGTTCAAAGCATGAGCAATCATTGACCTGCACAGGACACAGAGGGATCTCTCCTTGTGTTATGTATATGGTGAGACTTTACAACAGGGTATTAATCCATTAGTGTCCCGTTCCTCGGCTGTTCTAATGGCCTGGAAAGGCTCTGGATGGCTTTGGGGCAGCCCGCGCTCCAAAGGACCAAAGGAGTCTTCAGGTTTTTCAGTTCTTCAGTGTTGTTTATTAATTCTTATCTACAATATTTTCTCCCGGCCCGACAGAGGTCCCCACAGCAAGCCAGCCATGAGCACACTGACTGCCCTCAGGGCGGTCACATATCTTTATACCAAAAACTACGTGTCATATATTTACCTTTTCTCCCCAATACCTTTCACCCTTATTGACAAGTGCACATTCAGTAAGAACCAATCTCAAAGTGCCACCATCACCACCAAAGATGGATGACAAGAAGAAGAAGAAGAAGGACAGGACACACCCTAATTCCTCCATCTTGTCCCCGAGAACCCCCCTGTACCGAGATTCTAAAACCTGTGTTTTCACTCTATAATTAATCTATCCCTTCACCATTTATCCCCGTGTGATCCTCCCATCCTCATACAGGTGTTGCTTCCTGTGCAGGATCAAAGTCCAACCACCAAACACTTCTGGCAACGTTCCAGGACTTCCGAGCCCCCCAAGGGTTGTCTCGGTGACTCTGCACATCAGGAATGCTGTGCTGAGTTCCCACACATTAGAACCAGATGTAGGCATTAAAAAGTTTTTTTTTTTTATCTAATACACAAACACCATTTTCCTAGAATTCATTTCCATGCATCCACCTCCTCCTGGAAGCCCTTTTATGATCCTGGAGGTTTATTAAGTGGGGTCTCTCTGGTGGCCACATTAAAGGTGCCCTTGCCTTGAACTTTTCCTATGACCAAGCACTGTTGTTTCTTCCTCCAGAATTTGCCCCAAAATCACTGCAGGCCTCCTGATCTGTTTCTGCACTGGTTCCTGCCATGTTTGCCATCCTGTGTGCCAGCCTTTACATCCTGTGAGAAACAACCACCCACATTTTAAATTTCTGAAGTTTTAATAAACCTTAACAAAAAATGCAACAAAAGGACTAAATAAGGAGAAGCAGGCCTGGGAGCTTCCCTCATGGCTGCCCACCACGTGGCTGGCTGATCTTCAAGATGGATGCTTCACCTTTGATACCCCGGGGGTTGCATCAGCTAAACCTGGCCCCTCCCAAAGTCTGTCAGTCAGCCCTTCTTTGTGTTTATTGCTGGAGCCTGCTTTCCTGCAGCTTGACTGGAGGGCCAGGTGTTCTCATGCTGCAACTCTTCCCCCTCCAGCAACAAACTTTTGTACAGCCCTTCTTTCCACCTGTCCTAGATGACTCAGGCTCTCTGATGGAAACAGTGCAGAGGGGAGAGAAGGGGACTATGGGGAGAACAGGGGACATCTAAACAACAGACTACAATAACATAACTATATATCAATAAAACTTCTCTTAGTATTCATACAATATTAATCCCTTTACTGTGAGAGCCAATCATCCCATTATCTATCTATAACACATCCTTTAAAATTTTGGCCACTTTGCTTTTGAAAAACTTCAGAAGAACTGAAAATGTTCATTCTCTGTGTTATTTATCAACCTCCTGCTAACCAGCCCAAACCTCCCACCTCCCTCTCACAAGCCACAAGTTCCACTACCCTCCTCCCCTGCACTCTCCCACCTCCCCAGTCCTCCTCCTCCTGCATCCTTCCCACTGCAGGGAGCTGCTGAGGAGCCACATGGTCCATCCCTGGATTCTCCAAGCACTGACTGCCCATCCACTCTGACCACAGCCAGGGGCCACATCCCACTGCCTGCCCAGCGTCCATCCAGGGGATGAACATCATGTCCCCCGCTGCCAACTAATCCACTGAAGGAGATGATCTGTGTGAGACAGATGTCACCAGCGTGGCCACACACAGTGTGAGCCTGCTCATCTGCCTCTGCGGGCTGGCTGGGAACGGGGCTGTGCTCTGGGTCCTCAGGTTCCACATCCAGAGGGACACCATGAAACCCATCACTACCTACATCCTTGACCTGGCCATCATCAACTTCCTCTTCCTCATCTTCATGGTCCCCTCCGCTCTGCTCTTCCTGCTGGAGGATTTCTCCTGCTCCTCCATCATGCCCCCAGCATCCATACGCTTCCTTTTCCTCCTCTTCCCGATGTTCCACAGCGTAGGGCTGTACCGGCTGACGGCATCAGCATCGAGAGGGGCAGGTCCATGCTCTGCCCACCTGGGCTCTTCTGCCACCTTACCCAGGGCCTCTCATGGGTGGTGGTCAATGCCATGCTTTGGGCCCTTTCCATCACTGCCATCGCTGCCATTTCTGTGGTGAATTCCCTGTGCCAGTCACAGGAACACAAGCTCTGCCAGGGAGCTCTCATCTCCCTGTACATCCTCAACTTCCTCGTCTTTGCTCCATCCATGGTCATTTCCAGCACAATCCTCTTCATTCACTTCAAGGGTAGCTCCCAGCAGCAGCAATCCAAGAGCCTTGACATCATTGTCTTCCTGGCTGTGCTCCTCACTCTCCCCCTCAGTCTCTGGAATTTCCTGCAGCAGCTCGGCTACACCACTGTGTCCCCCCGGGTTGTTCTCCTGTTTGCCTGCATGCACAGCAGCATCAACCCCCTCATCTACATCTCAGTAACAAAGTGCTGGAGGCGCTGCTCCATGGGGTCCCTCAGGGAGTGCCTCCAGAAGGTGTTTGAGGAGCCAGAAGGGAGCACTGCCCCCAGTAATGATGCCACCATGGACAGGGGGGTCTGAGCCTGTTGAACCCCTCAAGTGCCCCCATGCAGGACCATGGGGCAGTGACTTAGGATCACCCTCCCACCCTTATTCCTGCAGGAAAAGGGAGCACAGGCACTGAAAAGGGCCATTTGGGAGGGATGCTCTGCACAGAGCACATTGGAGCATGGATTTGCTCCTCCCTCACGGGTCCTAGAGCACTTAACCCCCAAAATAATCCTTCCCAACATGGCTGTGACCCCAAAATTCCCCTGGCACCTTGTTCCTGCATCTCGCTTAGGTCTGATATCAATAAACAGCAGCGTGAACCCTGAGCTGCCTTTGCCCCCTCTGCCAGCGCTTCCCGGCTTCCTCTGGCTGCTGCTGCCAGCCGGGAATGTGGCTGGAGGGAGGGGACAGAGAGGTAGTTAGCCAGGAATTCCGTGATGGTTTTGAAATTTCTGTAATGAACTATGTTTAATTAGTCAAGGCTTATTTGACTGTGGTTTTTTAGCTGGTTTTGATTTAGATCTGATTGGCTGAGTGTCAGTAGAAAACTCTATCGACCTATGGCCCTTAGAGAACTTATTCAACAGCTAGAGAATAGAATTCAATAAAGTATTTTTAATGATTTTCATAAAAATAGAAATTAATTGGACATCATGTAATAAGAATGATATCTTGAGAGAATTAGGATTTCAGAGGACTATACATACCAGAAGTCATAATAAATTGTAAGAGATAAATTGTAATGGCAATACGAGAGCCATTTCCTAGGCTTGCAGACCTCATAAAACTTAATTAGTGGGAATTGTCTAACCAGAACATCAAATTAATTAAAACATTGTTTAGCTGGAAAAAAATGCAGGTTATCCATTAACCTAAGCGGTGTGACATATTCTGGTAGTAATTAAAACAAACAAAACACCTTTACCATGATGTAAAAAATTTGGAGCACTTTTGGGACTATCTATTTAAAATCTTGGATATTACAGTGTATAAAAATGCCTGAAAATTGTTGTTTCTGGAACCTATCAATGGCAAATATATTTCCTATATGTTTACATTTTTGACTCAAAATTGTTAGTATAGTGTTATGTTTGCCCAATTATCCCCTCATAAAAAAGCCCAAGCAATATTTAATGCAGCAGCAATTTTAATTGAATAGTATAAAAAATATATAAATAAGGGATAATTTGGTTCCACTAATAGCGCATAAGGAAAAAATAACCGCGGGGTACGGAGTGCAGGGTTCTGGGACCCTTGCAACCTCACGTACAAGCTTGCCAAGTTAAAATCACCCCTTATATGCAATGTGAAAACGCCATCTCCTGCTACTTTCGGTTCGTCACTTTTCTATCTCCGCCCTCATTACCACCTTTACCGCGCATGCACCACCACTTAGTTTGGTGGTTGCACAAGTCTTTGAGGGTCATTTTGGACAAAGGCCTCTTCTCTTCCTCTTTGTCCTTTAATTCACCTTTGGGTTACAGATGCGCATCAAGCCAGTACAATGTAAGCCAAGACTAACGTATCACTATATCTACATATCAAGGCAATAAATCCCTTATAATTAGCATTTTCTGGGACCCAACCAGGTTCTCCTTCCCTTTTTGCTAATTTTTAGCAGCTGTATCTTCAGCTTCTTTCCTGTGGTCCTTGAGAACATCTGCTGGGAAGGGGGGGGTGGAGCCCCTCCTCTCCCTCTCTTCTTTGGCATTACAACTTATAACTATTTTATTATTCCCAAATATTGATTACTATATCAATATTGATTACTGTTTCAATTTTTATCAGCACGAATAATACCTATTTATCACAATTGTAACACATTTTGGCAGTGATACCTAAATGTTTTGGTGTCAGAGGGGACACAGCCATGGCTTGTGCTCCCTGCAGCAACCATGATCCCCAGTGCCCAGAGCTGGGCTGGCACAGACACAATGGCTCAGGGGCTCAGCATTCCCCACCCCGAGTGCTCTGTGAGTGTCACAGCAGAGATCTCTCTAAACATCTTTAATTTTTATGATGTGAGCCAGGTGCAAAGGTGTATCTGCCTTCAGAAATTCTTCCTCTCCACTACCTTCAGATGCTCCCTCAGCAGGCTCAGGTGGTGCAGCAGCAAGGAGAGGAGGAGGCCGTGATCCTCAGCACAGCCACCCCCTTCCAGGAGCAGGGTGACACCTGTGTTTGTCACCATGGGCTCCACGGGGCATCACCCCCCTCCCTGTGGCTTCCCTGAGGCCACCAGCCCCACCACACCCCACACCTTCTCTCCAGACCCACCACACCCCACACCTTCTCTCCAGCCCCACCACACCCCACACCTTCCCACCACATCTTCCCAGCAGCTCCATCATGTCCCACCCCTCCCACACCACCCTCCCATCCCACTCCCCATGCAGCCCACCCACCTCCCGTCCTTCCCATCCCTCCCAGCCCCAGGCCTCAGGCTCCACTCCCTCCCCACGGGCTGCTCACCCCAGCCTGCCCCGGAAGGCTTTGGGGCCGTCTTTCTCTTGGAGATGCCCCTCCCCAGCTCCATCCCTGCTCTCCAGCCCCCCAATCTCCTCTGGACACAAACAAGAGGCGCTACAGGGATGGCTCCACTGCTGTTCATTGCGCTGCAGAAGCATGGAATTGCCAGGAGGAGCAGAAACACTGCTGGGGCTCCTGAGTGGGGCAGGAGAGGAGCGGGGCTGTCTGGAGGGGAAGGCAGCCTGGGGGGAATTCCTAGAGGATGTCAGAGGGGCATGATGCCTTAGGATTTTAGCCTTTCTATTTTTCATATCCTGTACTGCATTAGTGCATTACTCTAAACTCCATGGACAGTGTTAGTTAACTGTCTGCACATTTTGGTCAGACAAACCAATCTCTCTAGGCCTGAAATTCAAGGACACTCTACTGCCTCAGACCAAGAAAAGTACAGACAAAATTGAATTGAGGGAGGGCAAACTGGGACTAAATGACTTCATTACCTGAAGCTGTAATTGAAGGATTAACCCCTGATTTGTGAATGGACCAAACTTATATCTGTCTGAAAAACTCATGATCATTGCCCATTTTGGGTGCAGCCCCTCTTGGAGGCTTGGAGAGCCCAAGGTGAACCTTTTGAAGGCCTTTCATCAATGCCTCCTTTTATTCTCTTCACCTGCTCTGGCCTCTGTTCCAGGGAGCCAGCCCAAGGCATCAGGCAGACAGGGGCTGGAGGGGGCAGGAGGGCTCTGGGTGCCACCAATCCCAAATCTGCCACTGGACAGCAGCAGAGCCCAACAGGCCACACCTGCAGCCAGGGAGAGGCCAGGAACTGGGAACCCATCGCGATGGGATGGCATGGCATGGCATGGCATGTAGATTGGGGTGGAGATAGGGATGAGGTGTGATACCAAAATCAGACAGAATAAAGTTCCTAAAAACAACTAATGTTGCTACCAAAGGAAGTATTAAGCAGCAGGACACACAGATTTATCTCTCCTTATTTCTGTATGTTGTGACACTTTACAACTGTGTTTTTATTCTTTTTGACCATACGTTAAAAAGTTTTTCTTATCTAGTACATAAGCACCAATTTCCTAGTACTCATTTCCATGCATCCACTTCCCAGTGGGAGTCCTTTTATAATCCTGGAGTTTCATTGAGAGGGGCTTCTCGTGGATGTACTCCCTGAGTGCTCTGGTATTAAAGGTGACCTTGCCTTGAACTTTTCCTTTGGCCATGTGCTCTTGCTTCTTGTTACAGAACTTGCACTAAAAATAATGCTGACCTCCTTATTTGTTTCTGCACTGGCTCCAGCCATGGTTATCACCCACGGTCCACATATTTAAATATTTTTATATATTTGCCCAGTTAGTGTATAAGCAACTTCAAAAGAGTTACAAGTTTTTATTGTCTCCTACTTATCAATCCCCTGCACAGCAGCTGAACCCTCCCACCTCCCTCTCCCACCCCACCATTCCCACTGCCCTCCTCCCCTGCACATCTCACTCCTCCCCACTGAATCCTTCCCACTGCAGGGAGCTGCTCAGGAGCTGCATGGTCCATCCCTGGATTCTCCAAGCACTGACTGCCCATCCACTCTGACCACAGCCAGGGCCACATCCCACTGCCTGCCCAGCGTCCATCCATGGAGGTGACCACCGTGTCCCCATCTCCTGCCTCACCCACTGAAGGAGATGACCTATGTGAGACAGATGTCACCAGCGTGGCCATACACAGTGTGACACTGCTCATCTGCCTCTGTGGGCTGGCTGGGAATGGGGCTGTCATCGGCCTCCTCAGCCTGAAAAGCAGGAACTCTGGCATCTTTTACGTTGCTGTCATTGACTTCGTTTACCTCCTCTTTGCAGTCCTCTCCGCCCTCCTGCTGCTGGTGGAGGACGTGTCCTGCTCTCCTATTCTGCCCCTGCCTTACCTGAATTTCCTTTTCGCTGCATCAGCGATGTCCTACTACATAGGGCTGTTGTGGCTGATAGTCAACAGCACTATGCTGTATATGTGCAAGATCTGCTGGCTCTGCTGCCGCAGGGAGCTTCCCGAGTGCCCGAGGCCGGTGCTGATCAGTGTCCAGAGGTTGGCCTTCACTCTTCTCTTTGCTGTCATGTTGATGGTGACATTCTCGTGCAGGGAGAACTGTCAGGCAAATTTCATCTCCATGTACACCATCTTCCTGCTCCTCTTTGTTGCACCTGTGGTCATTTCTGGCACAATTGATTTCATTAAGGCCAAGTGGGGCTCCCAGCAGCAGCAACCCAAGAGGCGCAACATCGTTATCTTTCTTATGGCGCTCTTCATTCTCTTCCTCAGCCTCTGGAATTTCTTGCAGCAGCTCGGTTACATCGCTGTGCCCTCTCAGGTTGTTTTCCTGCTCGCCTGCATCCACAGCACCATCAAACCCTTCATCTACTTCTTGGCAGGGAGGTGCAGGAGGCCCTGCTCCATAAGGTCCCTCCAGCTCTCCCTCCAGAGGGTCTTTGAGGAGCCAAGAGAAAACACTGCCCACAGCAATGATCCCACCATGGACACGGGGATCTGAGCCTGCTGATCCCTTCCACTGCTGTGCTAAATAACCTCAGCACAGAGGCTGAGAGTTTCCTTGAACCTCCTTACTAATCAATATCCACAGGATCGCCCGGCCTTTACTGTTGTATTCCTGCAAGGGAAAGGAGCGCAGGCATTGCCTTGGGTGATTTTTGTGGGATGCTCTGCAGGGAGCACACTGGAGCATGGCTTTCCTCCTCCGTCCTGGATCCACATGGCTCCAAGCAGTGCAGCTGGGCTCAGTGCTGTTCCCCAGCTCTATTCCCCATGCAATGACCCTCATGGCCTCAGCCCCAGGGAATGAACTCCATCTCCTTTGGCTCAGCAGATGAGTTCCATGGTGTTTTCAGGGAGTTCTTGCCTGCAAAGAATGGGACACCTTAATCCCTGGGGACACACCCAGCACAGGGTGGCAGTGATTTCCCAAATCCCTGCAGGGCTGGTGCCTCTGGATGGCAGGAGAGGGGTTGGGATCACAGAGAGCATCCTTCCCCTTCTGTCCAGCAGAGCCAGCCCTGCATTCCCAGCTGATGGGAAGGGACACCAGGTAGGGCTGCAGAGCTGGGGAGGGACAGCAACATTCCCTCATCCTTTCAGTGGGAATGTCTCACAGTCTTCAATTCCAGAACTGAATATTTCTGAGAAAAGTGCAGGGTCGATGGTGAACTCCACTGATCTCGTGTGCCTGTACCAGAAAGTACATGGAATATGGAAATTCCCATTACCAGATGCTTGGACCACTTAATTGCACAGAAATTAGGGGGTTATGCTGCTCTTCTGCAGAATGTTCACAGGACTGTGGTTTTCCTTTCGCTTGGAACTGTTCAAACCTGCTCTGAACTGAAAACCCAGAAGAGCACCGGGAGCTCACACCTGTGGCCCACCAGGGCCTGGGACGCGGCATTTTCCAGCACCAGAGGGACTGATAAGGGACTGAGTGAGCCAAACTGCACTCCACAACAAGGACTTGCTGAATTTGCCAACTCTTCAGAACACCAAGAGATTTTATTGCTTTAATATTGCTTTCATTTTTTATGCTTGTGAATACTTTGCTTGTTAAATAAACTGTTTTTTCCACTTTTCTCTCAGGAAATCTTTTCTTGAACCAGCTGGGGGAGGGGCTGCTTAAATTTATTTTCTGGAGGGATCCCATTTGAAGGTTTATCCCTAATTTTCCCTAAACCAGGACACAACACAAACCATTCCATGAGAATTCCTTGTGTCACTCACAACTGCCCCAGGCAGGAGTTCCCCTGCTGCACACAGCACCAGCCTGACAGAGCTCAAGGAGCATTTGGACAATGCTCTCAGGCACAGGCTGGGATTGTTGGCATGTCCTGTGCAGGGCCAGGAGCTCAACTCCATGGTGCTTGTAGCTCCCTTCCAACACTGGATATTTTATTGTTCTATATTGTGATGACTGTGTTTCATGATTATTCCACTTGATGATGACTCCCCTGTGTTGTCCCTATGCCCTGGCTCTGGCACAAAAGCCTCAAAAGCCCTCTGCAAGGCAACACTACCAGAGGGGGTGAATTCCTTTGCACAGCTCCCAGCCAGGCAGTCACTCAGAGGGAGGGCACTGCTCTGGGCACAGGTGAGCAGGAGAGAGGGGCTGGGGGCAAAGACAGAGAAGTCAAACGCCCTCAGCAAGAGTCAGTGCCCAAAATCAGCAGTGAGGAAGGGGAAGGAGATGACAGGAGCAGCAGGAGCAGGGCACAGAGCTTCCCTGGGAGCTGTTTCCATGAGCAGCACAGGAGCCTGGCCAGCAGGGCCAGAGCAGAACAGGGCAGGCTGAGCACTGAGAAGGGGCAGCTCAGCACCAAGGCCATGGGCACCAAAGGGCAGCAATGGAGGGTGGCAGTGAGCAGCAAGGAGAGCAGCCAGAGCAGGGCACACAGGAGCACCGGGAAGCACTGGGAGCCATGGCAGGGCCAGCAGGACACGGGAGGACAAACAGAGCTGTGACAGCACTGAGGGCTGTCAGAGAGGAGACAGCAGCAGTGAAAGCCAAGAGGATGGCGAGCTTCAGCCCAGCTGTCACAGCCCACGAGCCCAGCTGGTGGCAGAAGCTCTCTGGGACAGAAAATATCCCCAGGCTGATGGTGATGGAGAGCAGGAAGGTGGAGCCAGCCATGGGCAGGCTGAGCACACAGGGGGTGATGGGGTTCCTGTGGATGCAGAAGCTGAGGAGCCAGAGCACAGCCCCATTCCCACCATCCCACACAGGCACAGCAGCAGCAGCAGCAGTGGGACAGGCACTTTGCTCCACTGCCTGCTGTCACACTGGCTCCAGTTGTCGTGGCTCTCCTCATTCCAGCTCCCCTGGGATGCCTTCCCACCGGGCTGGCTCCAGCAGGCAGGGCTGGCTCCCTCCGTGCCAGGGGACAAAGTGCTCATGGTGACACCTCTGCTGCTTCTCCTGCCCTCACACAGCTGCAGGGCTGACAAACAGACACACCAGAGCAACACTGCTGTCCCCCAAACGTGGCTTTTCCATCTTTTCCCACCCACAGCTTCCATGTGGAGCAGCACAGGGAGGGGTGAGGGACAGGACAGATGGCAGGGAGGATGTGGGAGCCTGGTCCTGTGTGCCTGGCACAAAAGCCAGGGAGATACCTCCTTCCTGGCTGTGGAAATGACAGAGCTGGAGCAGAAAAACAATTGGAGTAGGAGAGGATTGCCCATGGAAATATCAGAGAGCAAATGGCTTTGGTATGGATCTGAGCTGGACTCTCAGGTGTCAGTTGATATCACTGAGCTGCTGGATTCCTTCAGCAGGACACTCCTTTCAATATTCCCTCCCTTTTCCCACAGTGTTTATAGGTTTGAATTCCCTACAGACCTCAGTTCTGCCCCCAAAATCAATAACCAGGTTCCCCCAATGAGGGGGCCCTGATGAAGGTGGGAGAGAAGAGTCTGACCTGGTTTCCTCTGGCAGCCTGGAGAACTTGCCCGCAGTGCACTGCCCTCAGCTGCCAGGCTCCAGTTGCTGTCCCTGGGCCGGGATCTGCAGGAGGTTCCCTGGAATGGTCCCTTGGGAAAGGGGAGCGCAGCCCGCGGGCTGAGCCCGAGCAGCGTCCGGCGCGGGCTCTGTCCCAGCTCCTGCCACAGCCCCTGCTCTCCGTGCTGCCTCGTGTTCTCCAGGGCTCTCACACACAGGCAGCTGCCTCAGAGCCTGCCACGGGCTCAGGGCTCTGCTCCTCAGCTGCTCTTCACTCTGCCTGGGAAATGAGCATCGGGAGAGAGCCTCAGCAACCACACCTGTGCCCAAAGCACTTGGGCTCCATCTCAGCTTCTATTCTATTTTATAGCAACCTCAATCCTGAAATCTTGTGTTTTGAACTGCCTGAACTCGCCCCCTCTCATTCTTGAGGTGGATCCTTAGGACCTTGCACTACAAATGTGCTAGTAAACTTTGATTTCTGGTTCAAACCTAGTTTCCCCATGTGTATACTGCAGTTTCAGTGGTATTTTACCTTTACCATACAGTTTCCAAGAAGATTAATGCAATACTGAATTCTGTGTGCAAACTGGAGCACAGGCACACTCCAGAGGGATGATTTAGGATGTCAGCAGTGGCATTTCTTCCGTGAAGAGGAAAACCCATGCTGCTCTCTTGGCTTTAATCCTTAGAAAGTTGCAGATTTCCTTTGAGTCATCTTCCACAATCTCTTAGCAATCAGATAGCAGCCTACACTGAATTAGAAGGAATTCCTAAAAAGCTGACGTGAGATGATTCCTATCCAGGCTGACATGTGCCTCAGGGATCTGGGATGCTCCTGCTGGAAACTGCTGGCCCTGGGACCAGAACTGTCACCTCTCTTCCTGCTGACACCGTGTTTGTGTCCCCAGCTATGGAATCTCACATCCCCTCACCAGCCCAGTCCTTTCAAGGGCAAACACTTCATGATCCAGGAGCTGATGGGGCTCCAGGAGAGGCGGAGAGAAACTTTGGATAAGGGCATGGAGTGACAGGACAAGGGGGATTGGATTCCCACTGACAGAGGGTAGGGTCAGATTGGATATTGGGAAAAAATCCTTCCCTGTGAGGGTGCTGAGGCCCTGACACAGGTTGCCCAGAGGGATGGTGTCGCAGACATCTTTTCATAAAAATCCTTTCTTTAGCATTTTCCCTTCTGGGAAGCTAAGGCCCCAGACAAAGAATGTAAATAATTATCTGCTGCTGTGAAATGCAAGAGGTGCAGCTGTGATGGGCCCATATCAGATGTTTACAATTAATGCACAATCAAGGACTGAGCTCTCTCGGACAGAGTTGGAGAGAGCTCCTTTTTATCATTCTTTTTTATTCTTAGCTTAGCTACCCTTCTGAAATATTTTCCTTCAATTTCTTTTAGTACAGTCATAATGAAATATATATATCATAAAATAATAAATCAAGCCTACTGATCATGGAATCAACATTCTTATCTGTCTCTAGTCCTGAAAACCCTTGTGACCATGGACACAGGATGGGGTCAGGTAAAAGCAAACACAAGGGCTCCCATGTCTGAGGAGGAGGAGCATGAGCCCTAATGAAGGGCTGGAAAGGGGATCACAGCACCCTGGTCCCTGATAGCTTTCATTGCATCATAAGGGGATAGGCACTAATCAGGGTGGGCTCTAAGTGCTGCTGACCTGGCTGCAAGCAACTGACTGCTGTCCTTCCCTTGGGCTGTGTGAGCCTGCATTGCAATGACAGAAATGGGAATTCTCAGTTCAGTTTCCTTTCTTGGGGCCAGGGAAGGTTTTGGCAATGATCCTGAAAATCAACCCAGAATGGGAGTTGTTTCTGAGAAGCACACAGATGACTGCACAATGCTGTGAGCACTTCCAGCACTGCCAGCAGCATTCCAGTGCTACCAGCCCCACCAGCAGCTCTCTGCTGCTGGAGGGACAGTGACTCCTCAGGGTATATAAATGAGGAATGGTAGAAACCTGCTGAGAGAGTGAAAGCTTTTGGAGAATGTCCCATTTGGAAAAGAGTTTCTAATC